TTTGTGGGGCCCTCTATGACATCCCAGGAACATGGGTCCAGAAGTAGGGAAAGAATTAGTGAAACGTCGAAAAAGGAAAAATTAATTTTAGGGATTCTCATTTCCCTAACTGTGATTCTAAAGGGTAGTTTCCCTAAAAAAAAAAAAAAAAAAAAAAATCCAGAGGCTCAAAGGTTTTAGTAACTAAGGAAAAGGCAGACTATGGAAGCATAGAAATAGTGGAGCCTTTACCTAGTCTAATTTATTCTCTGCATAGGTCAGAACCAGGCATTATGGACTAAATAGTATCTTCCCCAAATTTTATACATTGAAACTCTAACCCCAAATTTGACTGTATTTGTAGATAGGACCTTTATAAAAGTAATTAAGGTTAAATAAGGCCAAAAGGACATGGTCCTGATTGTCTACAGGACTAATGTTCTTATGAGAAGAGACACCAGAGAGCTCATTGACTGTCTGTCATGTGAAGACACAGTGAGCATGCAGCTGTCTGCAGGCCAAGAGGACAGCCCTCACCAGACACTGGCCTTGCAGGGTCTTGACCTGAGACTTCTAGACTCTGGAACTAGGAAAAAATTAATTTTTGTTTTTTAAGCCACATAGTCTGTAATATTTTTTTATGGCAGCCCAAGCAGACAAAGCAGACAAAGGCACCTTGCAACCGTGTTTATTCATGAAATAGAAGAGTGGCAGAAAGTTTAAGAGGCTAAAGTTTATGTTAGCTTTCAAACATAAGCCACACACTGAGAAGGTTTTCATATCAGACTTGAGGTACATAATAAGAGGCCTAAAAATCAGAGTAAGGCACACACTAAGAAGATTCTGCATATAAAACTTGAGCTATATAAGAGGCCTATGAATCAGGCTTAATTTTTTAAAATTATCTTAAAGATCTATGAAACAATAGAATTGTTATTTCAATTACATTTTAAAAATTGAATACCATGGCCAGTTCTGGTGGCTCATACCTATAATCCTAGCACTCTGGCAGGAGGTCAAGAATTTGAGACCAGCCTAAGCAAAATGAGACCCTGTTTCTAATAAAAATAGAAAAATTGGCTCGGCACCTGTGGCTCAAGTGGCTAAGGCACCAGCCACATACACCTAAGGTGGTGGGTTCGAATCCAGCCCCAACCTGCCAAACAACAATGATGGCTGCAACCAAAAAAAAAAAAAATAGCCAGGTGTTGTGGAGGACGCCTATGGTCCCAGCTACTTGGGAGGCAGAGGCAGGAGATTTGCTTGAGCCCAGGAGTTGGAGGTTGCTATGAGCTGTGATACCACAGCACTCTACCCAGGGGGACAGCTTGAGGCTCTGTCTCAAAAAAAAAAAAAAAAAAAACAGAAAAATTTTGGCTGGTGCCTGTAGCTCAGAAGCTAGGGCAGCAGCCACATACACTGGAGCTGGCAGGTTCAAATCCAGCCCTGGCCTGCCAAACAACAATGACAACTACAACCAAAAAATAGCCAGATCAGTTGTGGCAGGTGCCTGCAGGTGCAGCTACTTGGGAGGCTGAGGCAAGGGAATCGCTTAAGCCCAAGAATTTGAGGTTGCTGTGAGCTGTGATGCCACAGCACTCTACCCAGGATGACAGCTTGAGATTCCATCTCAAAAAAAAAGAAAAAGAAAAATTGGGGGGGGGCATGGAGGTACTAGCTTGTAGTCCTAGATTCTTAAGAAGCTGAGATAGGAGGATTGCTTGAGCCCAGGAGTTTGAGGTTGCTGTGAGTTAAGCTCAAGGCCATGGCACTCAGGCCTGGACCACAGAGCAAGACTGTTTCAAAAAATTTTTAAATTAAAAAAAAAAAATCACATACAGTTCTTTGGAGTATAGGATTATACTATACTCCATATAGTATATTTAATGGTTGAGATGAGTCCATGAGAGAAATATCTCACATCACTGTACATATCACACAAAGCTCAGTGTAACATTTCCATAATTTTGCACACATGCAAAAGTAGTTCTATAAGGAGCATTTCCTAATTCTTTTTGTATATATGTGTGTATATATACAAATATATATATATGTATATACCTATATATACACATATATATGTATAGTGCCTATTAAACTTGCTTTTCTTGTTTTATTCTTAGAGAAAGGGTCTCACTCTATCATCCAGGCTGGAGTGCCGTGCTATGCTCATACCTTAGTGCAACATCGAACTCCTGGGCTGAAGTGAAGCTGTCTTCCCGCCTCAGCCTACTGAGTAGCTAGGATTACAGGGGCATGCCACCAATACTGGCTGTTTTTTAAATTTTATTTCTTGTACAGACAGTGTCTTGCTGTGTTGCCCAGCTGATGTCAAACTCAATTGATCCTCCCACTGCTTTTACAAATAAACTATGGACACAAGACTGATAAGTTCTCAATCAATTCATATGATTGTCAAGAATCAACAGATTTTGGAGATTTGAGAGTCAGAAATTTGAAACCTGGCTCTATCTAGTCTATACTACCTCTGGGAACTTTGACAAGTCAATGAATCTCTCTCAGAGCCTAACAATCTGCATCTGAAAAACAAGGATAATGGTTTTCTGAGCATTAAAAATAATGTGTGTAGGGCGGCGCTCATTGCTCAGTGGGTAGAGTGCTGGCCCCCACCCAGGCTGCAAACCCAGCTTGGGCCAGCTAAACAACAATGACAACTGCAACAAAAAATAGCTGAGCATTGCGGCAGGCACCTGTAGTCCCGGCTACTTGGGAGGCTGAGGCAAGAGAATCACTTGAGCCCAAGAGTTTGAGGTTGCTGTGAGCTGTGACGTCACAGCACTCTCCCCAGGGCAATGTAGTGAGACTCTGCCTCAAAAACAACAATAATAATAATAATGTATACAGAATACCCAGCACACATAGTAGGTTCTTTAAAATGTGTTGCTGTAATTTGTGGAATAATTTTAAGGTATAAAACAATAATAAGAAGACAAGTAAAAAATTGTCTCTGTCTTCAAAAAACTTACAACAGTGGAGAAAAACATGTAAAACAAAATGTTAAAAATGGTAGTGGATGCTATGAGCAAAGTTAGTCTAGGATACAGTAATAAGATGATCCCATTATCTGAAAACCCATCAAGAAACTACAACAAGTAAATCTGAAAGCAAAATTTATTTTAGTAACAGAGAATCCACAAGTCAATTCTTAAGTAGAATAAAGTAGGGCAAGAAGATAGATATTGTGATTGGATTACACCAACAGATGTGAAGTGATTAACAATTGCCATCATTATAGCATCATAGGAACAAGGATAATAACAATAATGAAATGCTTAAGGGTCTACTGGAGCTTTTTATGAATCTTCTAAAACTAATGTTTAAGAATTTTACTCCCTTCCTTTCTGTTCTACATCACCAGTATTATATGTGAAGCTCAAATAACAAGCAAAACTATTTATACTTGTCTCATTTTATTTGTGGGTAATTATTAAACCATAGTTGGGAAATGTTAAAGTTTTTAGGGCAAAGTTTGAGAAATGTTATCCCACATAAACTATTATTTTAAATTATTATTAAAAACCTAAATTTAAGAGGAAAATAAAACCCTAACTTGGTAAAATTATACCAATTTTTTTTTGAGACTGAGTCTCACTCTGTCTGTTGCCCTGGGGAGAGTGCCATGGATTCATAGCTCACAGCAACCTCAAATTCTTGGGCTCAATCAATTCTCTGGCCTCAGACTCACAAGTAGCTGGGGACTACAAGCACCTACCATGAGACCCAGCTAGTTTTTCTATTTTTAGTAGATATAGGGTCTCTCTCTTGCTCATGCTGGTCTCAAATTCCTGAGCTGACGCAATCTACCCACCTTAGCCTCCCAGAGTGCTAGGATTACAGGCATGAGCCACCACACCTAGCCTTAAATTTATATTTTAAACTATATTTCTCACTAATATTAACTTTTTGCTTTTACTTTTGAAGAATTTGGTAATGCTCTTTTAAATGAATGATAATCTGTGAAAGGTAATTAAATAGAATTTTTACTTAACACAAATTTCATTCATTGAAACAGTGCTATAACTGTGTATAATTTTAAAAAATCACAAATTTTTATAATTGTATAATATGGAAAATACAGAAATTCTTTTTCATCACAGCAAATTTTGGTGAAGGTTAACAGTTTTTTCTGTCTTCTTTCTCTATCACGAATTTCTTTTCTTTCTTTTTTTTTTTTTTTAACCCAGTCTCACTCTGTCGCCCCAGGCTATCTGGGCTACAGGGATCCTCTTACCTCAGCCTCCTGAGTTGTTGGGACTATAGGCACCCACTACAATGCCCAGCTAATTTTCTCTACAGTACAGATGGGGTCTTGCTCTTGCTCGGACTGGTCTCAAAGTCCTGAGCTCAAGGAATCCTCCTGCCTTGGCTTATCAAGAGTACTAGGATTACAGGCATGAGCCACTGTGCCCCGCCTATCACCAATTTCTATTTGCACAAAGATGTGCTTACTATCACCCAAAGCCTTATCATAATCCTATTGTTATTTTAAATTTTTTAACCTAAAGTAGACATGGAAATTTTTAACCACCAATAATACTACTGAAAACCAAATGTTGATCGTATTTTTAAATGACCAATACATTTTATACACATACATAAAAGATGAAAACAGATGTATAAAGCAGTTACTTACCATGTGTTAGCATCTATCCATGCATATTAATCCAGATAATTTAAAGATAAACAAGCAAATAGGTTAGATTTGAGTGTGGACTAAAAGTAAATAGGTTGTATAGGAGAACATAAGGGAATTTCCTATGAATAAAACTCCATGAGCTTCTAGTGATTTTAGATGTATTTTAGCTTCTCAAAAATACTATTGGCTTAGCTACTGGCTATTTTCATTTGCTTGGTGGGTAACTTTGCTATGAAAACTTAATGATCTTTAACCTACTATGGAATCTAGCATTAGGGGACTATAAATATACAAATACGTTCATATGAATGTACATCCTGAGATTCGTCTGTCATTGTTACCTCTGTTCATCCTATAGATTATAACAAATCCAATCTCTAAAATGGAAGAAGCCAAAAGCCAAAGTTTGGAGGAAGACTTTGAAGGACAGGCCACACATACAGGCAAGTAAAACTAGAAGGAAAAATAATTATTAAACTAGAAATAAATCTGAAAATAGCTAACATTCTCATTTGCACTATTTAGTAGTGAATTTAAGTAATATTTTCATATGGCTTGATAGAATACAAAACATTTGAGTTGGTAAATTAATTTGAAATCAAATAACTCTTAAAACAGCTTTATTTAGATGTCAAAGAGTAAGAAAAACACTAATTATCGATTATTCCTTGATGTTTAGCTATCACCGAGCCTTCTCTATTTGCACTATAATTAAGCCATTACCCCTCTCCACACTCCTCCCCAGTGCAGACTTCTACTGTGAATAATAGTAGACTAGAAGATAAATTATCTTTAATTTTAATTTTTTTAATCTAAAATAAAGGGAATGATAAAACATTCCTGAATCAAATGAATTTCAGAAAACCTAAGACTTCAATTCATTGCATTTAGAACTTGTTTTTTTTTTTAATTTGATCAATTACCTATGGCTATCTCTGTGCCACTACTGAAAGCCTGAAAATTAACTATGACTTAAATTTTAAAATTCAAGTTTCTTTTTAACTTTATTGACTCTTGTTTGACTAGTAAGTCCTCTCTCTTTTAATTTGCACTGACATCATTGAATTAAGCCATACAAAAATGTGTGGGAATTCATGTTATACATAAATGTAATAGGAGGAATATCTTTCTAAGTATAATACAAAACAAAAACATTTTTTTGAATGACTGATAAATTCAATTAAAAGAAAGAAGGAAAGAGAGATGGACAGAGAGAGGGATAAAGGAAGAGAGGAAAGAAGAAAAGAAGGAAGGGAGTAAAATTAAAAAAAAAAAAAAAACTGGGGGAAACATTTGTAAGTCAGTCGACAAACCAAGGGTTAACTTTGTGATACATATTAAGAGCTCCTACAAATCAATAAGAAAAAACCAACAACTGAATCAAATAATAGGCACAAGTTAGGAAAGACTATTCACAGAGTGCTGGGGGAGAGCAAGAAAAAAGACACTTATAAAGTTAGAGCTATAGTGATATTTTTTCACAGACGTGGTAAAAGTAATAGCTTTTTTGTCACCCTCAGACATTGCTAATAGGAGTGTAAATTGGTGCAATTTCTGTAGGGGTATTCTAGCAATATCAAAATTAGAAATGTATAAGCCCTTTCACCAAGCAGTTTTACTTATATAACCATAGACACACCTACACAGATAGAAAACACTGCATGCATGAGATTCTTCACTCAGCATCACATATCGTAGAACAAAATGTAGACAAATGTACACCAGTGAGAAACTGTTTTAAGTATTTTATGTCTATGCACACAATGGAACACCATGCCTCCATTTTTAAAATAAGGACGAACCTCTCTATGGGTGGATACAGAAGAAATTTCTGAGATATAATATGAAATGGGAAAAGTAAAGTAGAGAAAAATGTACATAAAATATGTTACTATTATCATTTTTAGAAAATGGGAAGAGTCTTATTTCTAAACATGTGAGCACACATACATATGCATATTTTCTATATTCATAAAATACACATATATCTGAAAGATGGATACTACATAAGAAAACAAAAACCTTTGATTGCCTAAATATAGTTAATATAATATATAAATATAAATAAATTTTTTAGGCAATATGGAGGAGAAAGACAATATACAGACATACAGAATATAATGTTAAAGTTATAGCTATGGCCAAGATTTAGTGCAGGATATTCAACTTAATGCTGTTTGTTTTTAAGAATTTAAGACCCTGTGCTGAGCACTGTTGTTATCAGATCAACTGAATATCACAATTCTAGGTGGTTCATCCTTTATTTAATCAGATTTTCCTTAACCTGCAAATTCTACCCTTTCTACATTTTTAAAAGACTATTACAATGTTAGAATGAGATGCATATGTAAGGATTTTCTTAAAGCCATTTTAGTTTTGTTAAGGTCAGGCCTCCTTCTCACTGGTTGTCTTTTACATGTTATTGCTGTTTCTCTGACAGTCCCAGTTCCTTTTATGAACTAATATAGTGCCAAGTTAAATTTATTGCAGAGGTTTCTTTCTTACATAATAACAGTGCTACTTTTCTAAAAGTCTAGTTTTCTCTCTATGCTCTAATTTTTAATATATTTACCCCAAATTTTTCCCAACAGTTCAAAGTACATAATTTATATTTTCTTTAATTTCAGAAAGGTGATTTGCCAAAAACCCATTTACCAAGATTAATGTAGGAGAATATTTTTATCACCAGGGCAGTGTTTGTGTCTGACGCAGGAGATGGTATCCATTCCCGATACTCATTTTAATTGGGTAAATAGTCCTTTAAAAAAAAATGGAAACAATTTATTTTTAATTTTATCCCAGGACCCAAAGGAGTAATAAATGATTGGAGAAAGTTTAAATTAGAGAGTGAAGATAGTGATTCCATCCCACCCAGCAAAAAGGAGATTCTCAGGCAAATGTCTTCTCCTCAGAGTAGAGATGACAAAGAGTCAAATGAAAGAATCAGCAGAAAGGTAAGATAAAAAATCAGTAATAAACCATTTACAGTATGTTTTCTAGATGAAATCATTCTAAAGGATCACTTTATAAAATGTATAGATTGCAGCATTGTTTATATTGGCAAAAGAAAAAAAGATGGAAATGAAGTGAATGGCTAGCCAGGTTTTCCATCCTAAGAAATCCACATCTGGCTCTTAGAAGAATGACTTACAAATACATAAGTTAACCTAGGGACATTTTCACAACACGAGAAAGCAGAAGACACCTCTGTATGTATTTCTGTGATTATGATTTACACAACTAAAAATGAGTTTGTATATATGAAAGTACAGAAAGACACTCACCAAGTTGACAATGTGGGTAATTTGAAAGGATGAGATCGGGAGAAGAGAAGAAGAAAGTGAGCAAAATGAGCCACAACTTTTTCCTAAAACATGATATCCATAAGTATTAAGGAGTATTTTAATTTAAGTTTTATAATAGGTGAGTCTATGTGCATAAAGAGATACATTAAAAAACCATCCTAAAATTTTAATGGAGAGTATCTCATAGTATTAGAGTGGTGAAATTCCAGTATTAGTTACTTTCTTCCTTTAGGCCATTTGTGAATCTTCATTATTACTATGTGTTATTTATAGAATAGTAAGAATGACAATATAAGTACCCATGAATTTTTGTCATGGGGAAAAATCACTTAAATGGATTATTTATCCCCAGGCCAGAGTGTATATGAGTTGTTGTATACTGATCAAAATGCATATTGCTATATGCCTTTTCCCAGGCTTCTGGCCATTGTATTATAAAAATATGCAATTCTAAGATTTGGAAGAGGGAGAGGTTGGTTCTTTCACTGAGTCACTATAGAAGGGAGATAAGACAAATTTTCCCATCTGAGGAATTGTGACAAACCTCATTCACTTGTTTTAAAGAGATGTGAAGAGAAAATAAATGTAACAGTGTTTGAAACATGTAAAATAATATCCAAATGAGACATATTATAATTATTAAAAATTTTGTACAAAGGCTAAACTTTAGAAATGTATCTGAATGCCTAATTTATCTGTATATATGAATATGTAAATGGAACAAATTCTCACAGGAACACTCAAATGCATCTTTAAATCAATATTTGTGTGGTTTGGTCTGTTAAATTAACAAAACCATGGTAGCAATTTAAAAACTTTACAAAACATTTAACAATTTTCAGGGTTAAAACAAACTAAATCAACATAATAAGCTGAAGATAGAAAAAGATGTATAAGAAAGAGAATGAGGATATTAAGAAAACAAATATAAGAAACAGAAACAAGAGAAAGTGGTAATGAAAGCATCAGACACTTTTACTTACCCCGAATCACAGTATCTTCTTTTTGTAAAATGATATTAATAATACCCTAGAGATTATTTGTGATGATTAAATAATCTAAGACATGGTTTTAGTTTTTTAGTTTTAATTTTTTCCATAAACATTAGTTTCTTGCCTTCTCTATTCCCCCCTACTTTAAAAATTGACAGCAGCAATTTGACAGGTTAAGTGATGATAAGGCCTTGGTAGATAATCTCCTGTGGGACAATCTAACTTCCATAGCTCTGGGCTGCTCCACATCTGCTATGTATTAATCATACCATGTCCTAGTTTTCCCTTATGTGTCTTTTTTATGGGGGGCGGGGAGTGAGTGCCTAACATTCTGTTAAATACATTAATAATGGAGGAGCTGTTAAGAAAGGCTGTGCAGGTAATTTTATAAAAAGTGGTTACTTTGGAAAATTAAATTTAGGTCTTTTCTCACTTTTGGCCTAAACCAGGGGATAACAGTAACCTGGAGGACTGGCTCGGCACCTGTGGCTCAAGCAGCTAAGGCACCAGCCACATACACCTGAACTGGCAGGTTCGAATCCAGCCCAGGCCCGCCAAACAACAATTAAGGCTGCAACCAAAAAATAGCTGAGCACTGTGGCTGGCACCTGT